TATTCTTACGCTATTTGGGAACGAATGGCGGCCATTTTGTCTGTCAATTTTGGGCCGATTTTCACGAACTTCAAACTCAGCCATCTTTAGCGTGTAACGGTGATATATTAAAACGTTTTTTTAAATCGGGTAAAAATTATGACTTCCATAGGGTCCACAAGCTAAAAACGTGATTTTTCGTACAATCAGGGGCCATAATTCAGGAAGTTACGGTCCGATATGCACAAATATCGAAAGGAACCGAGATCTTTGGGTTATAAACTTACATTTCAAGTTTCAACAAAATCGGATAAAAATTGTGACCCCTATAGGGTCCACAACCTTGATATACCATATTCTTACGCTATTTGGGAACGAACGGCGGCCATTTTGTCTGTCAATTTTGGGCCGATTTTCACGAAATTCGAACTCAGTCATCCTTAGGGTGTAACGGTGATATAATAGAACGGTTTTTTAAATCAGATAAAAATTATGACTTCTATAGGGTCCACAAGCTAAAAACGTGATTTTTCGTACAATCAGGGGCCATAATTCAGGACATTACTGTCCGATATGCGCAAATATCGAAAGGAACTGAGATCTTTGGGTTATAAACTTACATTTCAAGTTTCAACAAAATCAGATAAAAATTGTGACCTCTATAGGGTCCACAAGCTAAAAACGTGATTTTTCGTACAAACAGGGGCCATAATCCATGAAGTTTCGATCCGATACATGCCAATATCGAAAGCAGCCGAGATCTTTTGGGGATAAACCTATATTTGAAGTTTCGTCAAAATCGGATAAGAATTGTGACCTGTAGAGAGTCCACAAACAATTGTGGACAGACGTACGGGCGTCTGGACGGACAGGGGCGACGGCATAATACGTCCACATGCAGTTGGCGATTACGGATGGGTTAAAGCTGCAGGCTATTGCTAGGGTCATAGGGGCGGCCCGTAAACCATTCCGTTTTAGCCACAGAGGCGCTACGTAAGGCCCAAGGTGATCATCATCTTAAACTAATTCAGGACGTTGCCACGTGCTGGAATTCGACATATATGATGTTAGAGTGTCTTCTAAAATTAAAGATTCCTGTGTATTCAGTAATTTTTGACGACTCTAATATCAGATCATATTGCCCTTGATTTAAAGGACTCGTTCTGGAAAGTTATTGAGGATTTGGTACCGGTATTGGAACCATTAGCCGACGCCACGGAGATCTTGGCAACAGAAAAAGTAACAACATCTAGCGGTGTACATGTCTTGTTGGCTGGTCTTTTTGAACGCGATTTACCTGGTTTCGATTGTGACTCAAATCTCGTATTATAGTTAAAAAGAGTAGGGTCGCCTGTCCAACCTCGTGGGTTTTCTCCGGGTCTTCCGGTTTCCTCCCACTGCTAAAGAACCCTACGCGCAAGCGAATTATGTAAATCAAATTAAACCATATGTTAGTCCCGAAATGACCCAGTTTATGTCGAGTGGACGTTAAACCCCATTTCTCTCTCTCTCTCTGAGTTAAAAAGTGTCATCAGAAATAGCCTTGTCAAAAGACTGGATATTAATGCGGATGGACTTCCCAATGATGTTGGCCTAATTTCACAACTAATGCTCTTGACAGCTCTGGATCCACGGCACAAATCTCTGAGATGTTCATCAGAAAACCAGAGAATTTTAATTTGGGACAAAATTCAGCTTTTGTTAACTGAACTAAATAAATCCGGCAATAGTACTACCGCCGACCCCCACTTACACAATACAGTGAATGATGATCTAGCACCGGTGGTGAAAAAGAGTCAAGTTTTTAATTATTTGACGGGTGATATAGGCCTTTCCTCTGGTGGCGTTGACAATATAGCATCAGAACTAACCAGAATTTAACCAGCGGCTGCCAGGCAGGATACGCCCACATTTTCGAGAGATGGATAGAGAACAAGCTAAAAAGAAAGTGATTTTTCCTACAATCAAGGGCCATAGTTCAGGAATTTACAATTCGATATGCGCAAATATCGAAAGGAACCAAGATCTTTGGGTTATAAACTAACATTTCAAGTTTCAACAAAATCGGATAAAAATTGTGACCTCTATAGTGTCCACAAATTTGATATACCATATTTTTATGATATGTGAGAACGAAGAGTGGCCATTTTGTCTGTCGGTTTTGGGCCGATTTTCACGAAATTCGAACTCAGTCGTCCTTAGGGTGTAACGGTGATATAATGATCCTTTTTTTAAATCGGATAAAAATTATGACCTCTATAGGGTCCACAAGCTAAAAATGCGATTTTTCGTACAATCAGGGGCCATAAATCAGGAAGATTCGGTCCGATATGCGCGAAGATCGACAGGAACCGAGATCTTTGAGTTATAAACTTACATTTCAAGTTTCAACAAAATCGGATAAAAATTGTGACCTCTATAGTGTCCACAACCTTGATATACTATATTTTTACGCTATTTGAGAACGAAGGGCGGCCATTTTGTTTGTCAATTTTGGGCTGATTTTCACGAAATTCGAACTCAGCCGTCCTTAGGGTGTAACAGTGATAAAGTAACACGTTTTTTTTTAAATCAGATAAAAATTATGACCTCTATAGGGTCCACAAGCTAAAGATAGGTTGCCAGGCAAAAAAACATACGCCCACAGCAGCTATATCGTCCGGGCAGTCAACAAGAGTTGTCGCATATTTTTACTTCTTTCGGTAATGAAACATTTATAATACATTAAAATCTGATTAAGAGTAACAACTCATTAAGTAATTATCAGAAAACCATTAGAATTTGTTTGGTTTTTATAAAGTTCTGTCCCATGCTAATGTTTAGTATACAAAACTTTTAAAATCATGGATTTAGCTGTTCAAGTCATAAAGATTCATTGAAAATCAATATACTTGTTCGTCTCAAGACCTTAAACTCTGTGTACCAATCTGAAGTCAATCAGATGATAACTTTAGCCTCTAGAGCGTCACAAGATTTTTCAAAGTGATCAAGGGCCATAACTCTGGCAGTAATTATTTTTCATCTCATGACCTCAAACACTGTGTATAAATTTAAAGTCAATCGGATAATAATTTTAGCCTCTACAGCGTCCACAAGATTTTTCAAAGTGATCAAGGGCCATAACTCTGGCAGTAATTATCGGAAATCGCTGAAAATCAATAGGCGTCTTTGTCTCATGACCCTGTGCATAAATTTGAAGTCAATCGGATATTAACTTTAGCCTCTAGAGCGTTCACAAGATTTTTCAAAGTGATCAAGGGCCATAACTCTGGCAGTAATTATCGGAAATCGCTGAAAATCAATAGGGTTCTTTGTCTCATGACCTTAAACACTGTGCATAAATTTACAGTCAATCGGATATTAACTTTAGCCTCTAGAGCGTCCACAAGATTCGGGCAAGCTGACTTTTCAGGCAGACGGGTAAAGTGAAAACAAAAATTTATTTTATCTGCCCGAAATCTAATAAAACACTAATTTTACGGGCTGGAATAGCAAGAAAACGCGTTTGCGGCTGTCAAATATTCCAAAATTTTCTTGCGGGGTCCATACTAGGTCAGTTCCGCTTCTTCGCCTCTCGAAGAAAACCGGCAGTGCTGTCCGTAAACCCGAGATTTTTTCGGGCATTTCTAGTTTTGCTTCCCTTACTGTTATCAAGCCCTAATATAACACTAATTTTACTTTTCTTTTAATTGAATGCCACGAATTTGTACAGAGTTGACTATGGATTTAAAAATGTTGCCTGGAGTCACTCTACTTTGTGCGACATTTTTCGGGCATCGATTATTAATTGTGAATGCAGCTGCAACAGTCTGATTAGATGGTAGGAATTCAGATTGGGATTTTGGTTAGAAAACCATTGGATACTTTTGGAGTTTACACATGCTAGAATAGCAGAAAACGCATTTGCGGTGGTTAAATTTTCAAAATTTTCTCCGGGAGGGTATATCCCCGAACCCAGCGCTGATTGATTGGTTTTTTGGAATTCCGGTCAACCAGGTAGGCTATATTGGACCAAATTGAAGTTGCTGTATTCACAGGCTGGAATAGCAGGAAAACGCTTTTGTGGCAGTTAAAATTTCAAAATTTTCTCCCAACGGTACCGTCTTCTTGGACTGTAAACGATTGATTGGAATTCGAGTCAGCCACCTGGGGTGGGGGGGCGGCGAGGTAAGCTCTGCTCTCTTCGCCTCTCAAGGAAGACCGGCGCTCTCTGTAAACCTATATTTCAAATTTCGTCAAAATCGGATAAGAATTGTGACCTGTAGAGTGTCCACAAACAATTGTGGACGGACGGACAGGGGCCACGACAATATACGTCCACATGAAAATGTGGGCGTATAAAAAAGACATTTTTATCACAATTTAGTGATTTTTCCCAAAAAACCTATACTATTCTTACAAAAGAGATATCTATCATGCTTATAATCCATGTAGCTTTATTCCTGACCATCTTGAACTTTTTAATGGCAAGAAAATATCCAATATTTCATTTATGACAAAAATATGGCAGCCATTTAGAAACCCACTGGTAACCATGGTGACTATAAAATCGAAACTAAAAATATGCAAAAATCCCAAGTCATATATAATGGATATACATTTGCAATTTTACAGTTGTAATCGCATTCATATTCAAGGTATGCATGGTTTTTCACAACAGGGTCTTTATCCAGTCACTGATGACTATGACTACAATGACGGAAGCCGGTTGGGGGACAAGAGTAAAACAAAGCGAATCTTTTTTTTTTCAGGGGCAACGTTACACTAAAAATGTTTTCAGAGAAACAGGGGAAGGGGGGTCAGATTGGAAGGATGCAGAGAGCTGAAAATGTGGGCATATAAAAATTTTGTGTAGCTTGACAAATAATGGCAGAGACATTTAGGATACTGCTACTTTTAATTACTAAATTTTTTCCAGGCCATAAAATTTGTTTGCTCACTTCAAGTTTTATTCAAATTTCAGTCACTTATTTTTAGCGAATGAGGCAAAATAAGTCAAATTTTATACATCAAATAATTACCAGTTCCTGTTTAATAAGATGTTCCTTTGGATTGATGCCATTTACATTCAAATAAACTGAAAATTAAGTAAAATATCTAGTATGAACTACAGGCAGATAATTACAACTGATTACAGGTGATTAAAATTAAAGTTTCAGTTAAACCTGAGGACTCCACAATGTTGTTGAACAAAATAAAACACTATTCCCTATTGTAGCAATACCCGTTGGTCGAATATGGAAATCAAAGCCGAAAGCTTACCACATCCGACGTGTGACACCATCCTCAATTGCTACGCATCTTTTTTTTGGCCTTGACCATCAAGGGGGAGCCTCAGTGGCAATGTGGGTAAGACACTGGTTTGCTAGCCTGGAGGTCGCGTGTTGATCCCTGCATTGGCTGAGAAAGTTCATCAGGATTTTCTGACATGGTTTCCCCTTGTCAGTGGTGCAGGACGGAGGGCCTGACAAGAAGAGCTGTCTAGTCATTTGGATGGGATGAAAAACCGAGGTCCCGTGTATACATTGGCGTGGACGTAAAAGATCCCTTGGTAGTTGGAATTCGATATAAGAGTAGACCATAGTGCCGCTGCCCAGGCAAAATTTTCCTCATAGCACACTGTATGGAGCATGTCCGCCTACATTAGCCCAGTCAGAGCAGAACAGTAGGACGTTAAACCTCATTTCATTTGATCGTCTAGGTTTGACTGGCATAGATACTACTGGAACTCTCTTATCTTGAACTTCACGTTAATTACTTATTCAGAAACAATACAAAACTGCCGAAATGCACTGCTGTTTTTATTAGAGCTAACCAGTGTATGTTAATAACAGGCCAATTGCCTACACATGAACTTAAACAGTTCATATGGGCTGTTTATCTGACGGTCCCATTTCACTCGCAAAGAAATACACTGTCAAAAGTGAAAATGAACATTTTTGATTTTCGTCTTAATAATGAGTAATTGCTCCACCAATCCTCAGACATTCAGCAACTCGCCGTGGCATGCTCCCAATGAACCGTCCAATAACGATTTGGGGCAATCTACCCACTCCTCTTGCAGTGCCACAGCCAATTCTTGCAGTGTCGGCGGTTGACGTCGATGCCGACGAACACTTCTCCCGATCAAATTAAATGTAACACACTAAAGCAAAGATACGCTAAACAGTAAATCTTAAGCAAGAACCGATAGGAAAGCAAACATGGATAGGATAAACCAGCAAGCGTCAGTTTCCATCAACCCTTCCTTGAAGTGTCAAATTTGACAATGAACCACTCCCACGTGTATGGCGCTATTGCGTGTCGCACATGCAGCTTAGTGGTTCTGTTGGGGCGATAAGTTCTTCATCTGTGAACATACTCTCAAAGCATGTCAAATGTCCATGACTATCTATCATATCACAACCTGCATAGGTATTTGCATTTCAATATCCCTTACTTTTTTTGAAGAGAATATACTCAGCCAAATTAAAAACTTGACACTGATGAATTTCAACAAAATTTTTTTTCTGGTAAGTCAAATAAATTTTAAAGTGTTTCTAACGATAGTAAGTAGTAAGAAGCCTTTAATTTCATAAAATTGATCATATAAAGATGAAAAACACACACCTAAAAAATTTTGGGGCGTGTGCTTTAACAATAATGTAAATTAAGGTGTGAATTCATTGAACTATCAGGTCCTCCTATTAAATCCAATTTCAAGTGATGTGTTTCCTTGTAATGCGCTTTATATTGCCATCTATATATTTTTTCTAGATTATCTGATCGACTGACTTAAATGTAATTGTATCGGGGATGGTTGTCAACAGTAGCAACAAAAGGTCTAGGGTTTCCTTCCCCTATAGACCTGGCCAAGTTGCCATTTAGTGAAATATCTTGAGTGCGGCGTTTAACACCCAAAAAATCCATTGGTATTTTATTCACTTCATGACGGACCTTATTTCGGATACGTTTAAAGAGGGATCTGCCCCTTACTAGATACATGTACATGCTGAAAGGCATAGGCAAAACCAGCTGTTGTTCACTATGACTCTGTTCCCACCGACCGCTGACATAATAAATGTCAACAAGCCAACAGTGAGGCTGATGTCCCCCGCCGAAATAGGAAAATAATTAGAGGACACATATAAAAATCAAATTGCGTATCGCTCTGCTTACCCTGAGCAGAAAATGCTCATTATCAAACTTAGTCAAGGTATTACTGTAATGAAACTATACACCAAGTTTCATCAATCTCACTTAATTAGAACTAAAGTTATCGTGTCCCAAAGCATCAACCAATCAAATTGCTTATCTCTGCTTACCCTAAGCGGAAAATGCTCATCTTCGAACTCCATCAAGGCATTGACCTAATCAACACATACACCAAGTTTGAACATTCTAGCTCAATTAGGAAGAGAGTTATCGTGCCCCAAAGTATCAACCAATCAAATTGCTTATCTCTGCTTACCCTAAGCGGAAAATGCTCATCTTCGAACTCCATCAAGGCATTGACCTAATAAACACATACACCAAGTTTGAACATTCTAGCTCAATTAAAAGTTATCGTGTCCCAAAGCATCAACCAATCAAATTGCTTATCTCTGCTTACCCTAAGCGGAAAATGCTCATCTTCGAACTCCATCAAGGCATTGACCTAATCAACACATACACCAAGTTTGAACATTCTAGCCCAATTAGGAAGAGAGTTATCGTGTCCCAAAGCATCAACCAATCAAATTGCTTATCTCTGCTTACCCTAAGCGGAAAATGCTCATCTTCGAACTCCATCAAGGCATTGACCTAATAAACACATACACCAAGTTTGAACATTCTAGCTCAATTAGGAAGAGAGTTATTGTGTCCCAAAAAGTGTGACGGACAGACAGACGGACGGACAGACGGACAGACAGACGGACAGACAGACGAACGAACCCATTTTAATAGTCCCCTGCTTTCTTCGAAAGGCGGGGGACAACAAAGACAGCCAGAAGAGTGCTTCAAACTGGAACTATTGCCGACCGCCCAAGGGCGGGAGTGCCACGTGTGACGTCACTCCAGGAAGATCAAGCAATATGATTACGTCATCTTAGAAACAGATTTGTCACTGCAACCTCCACAAGTAGAGAGATGTGTGGGCCACAAGACACATAAGATTTACTCAAAGATAGTGGAATTCGGTTGTCTTTAGTGACGAATCTCGATTCACTTTGAGATTTGCCGATGGCAGGGTCCGAGTGTACCGCAGACGAGGTGAACGTTACGCTCAAGTATGCGTCAGAGAAGTTGACCAATTTAGTGGCGGCAGCGTCATGATTTGGGGATCTTTTTGTGCACATGGATGTTCTCCTCTTGTTGTTGTCCAAGGGAACTTAAATACTGTCCAGTATAGGGATCAGATTTTGCAACCTGTTCTTCTTCCGTTTATGCAGAGACATGGGCCTGGACTAACGTTTCAACAAGACAATGCTCGACCCCTTACAGCAATAGCTACACAGAATTTTTTAAGAAATGCCGGTGTCCAAGTCCTGGATTGGCCGTCGCTTAGCCCCGACCTTAATCCTATTGAACACATCTGGGACGAACTGGGTCGATGTGTTCGTCAGCAAGTGAATCCACCACTGACGTTGCAGGACCTTCAACATGCTCTTGCTGAGCAGTGGCGACGCCTTCCTCGGGTAGTGTTTACTAATGTTCTGAGATCCATGTGAAGACGTTGTGTGGCAGTACGAGAATCTAGAGGAGGCCACAACAGTTACTTAACACTTTATTCCGATTGTTCTCCAAGTCTGTGAATTTCATTTTTCGGGGTACTGTGACATCACGAACGTTATCAATGTCAAGGACTTTTGGCGAGACGTATTCTTGCTTTCAGTTGATGTCAAGGTCGTCTGTGCACAACATAACACTAAAATAGTTGCCTTAAACCAAATATTAAAAATCTAGTCCCAAAAATCCTGAGTGTCAAGTTTTTAATTTGGCTGAGTATATATCAGGAACACAAAGATTTTTTTGTATCAAACAGGATACAAAGTTTACAAGCATATGTTTACATAAAACTTAACCAGCGGCTGCCAGGCAGGATACGCCCACATTTTCGAGAGATGGATAGAGAACAAGCTAAAAGTGATTTTTCCTACAATCTAGGGCCATAATTCAGGAAATTACAATATCGAAAGGAACCAAGATCTTTGGGTTATAAACTTACATTTCAAGTTTCAACAAAATCAGGTAAAAATTGTGACCTCTATAGGGTCCACAACCTTGATATACCATATTTTTACGCTATTTGAGAATGAGGGGCGGCCATTTTGCCAGTCAGTTTTGAGCCGATTTTCACGAAATTCGAACTCAGCCGTCCTTAGGATGTAACGATGATACACTAAAACGTTTTTTAAATCGGATAAAAATTATGACCTCTATAGGGTCCACAAGCTAAAAATGCGACTTTTCCTAGAATCTAGGGCCATAATTCAGGAAATTACAATTCAATATGCGCAAATATTGAAAGGAACCAAGATCTTTGGGTTATAAACTTACATTTCAAGTTTCAACAAAATCGGGTAAAAATTGTGACCTCTATAGGGTCCACAACCTTGATATACCATATTTTTACACTATTTGAGAACGAAGGGCGGCCATTTTGTCTGTCAGTTTTGGGCCGATTTTCACGAACTTCAAACTCAGCCATCTTTAGCGTGTAACGGTGATATATTAAAACGTTTAAATCGGATAAAAATTATGAACTCTATAGGGTCCACAAGCCAAAAAATGTGATTTTTAGTACAATCAGAGGCCATAATTCAGGAAGTTACGGTCCGATATGCGCTAATATCGAAAGGTATGAGATCTTTGGGTTATAAACATACATTTCAAGTTTCATCAAAATAGCATTAAAATTGTGACCTCTATAGGGTCCAGAACATTTTCGAGAGATGGATAGAGAACAAGCTAAAAAGAAATTGATTTTTCCTACAATCTAGGACCATAATTCAGGAAATTACAATTCGATATGCGCAAATATCGAAAGGAACCAAGATCTTTGTGTTATAAACTTACATTTCAAGTTTCAACAAAATCGGGTAAAAATTGTGACCTCTATAGGGTCCACAACCTTGATATACCATATTTTTACGCTATTTGAGAACGAAGGGCGGTCATTTTGTCAGTCAGTTTTGGGCCGATTTTCACAAAATTCGAACTCAGCCATCCTTAGGGTGTAACGGTGATCTAATAATACATATTTTTTATATCAGACCTCTACAGGGTCCACAAGCTAAAAACGTGATTTTTCGTACAATCAAGGGCCATAATTCAGGAAGTTACGGTCCGATATGCGGGAATAATGAAAGGAACCGAGATCTTTGGGTTATAAATTTACATTTAAAGTTTCAACAAAATCGGATAAAAATTGTAACCTCTATAGGGTCTACGAGCTAAAAACGTGATTTTTCGTAAAAACAGGGGCCATAATCCATGAAGTTTCGATCTGGTACATGCCAATATCGAAAGCAACCAAGATCTTTTGGAGACAAACCTATATTTCAAGTTTCGTCAGAATTGTGACCTGTAGAGTGTCCACAAACAAATTGTGGACGGATGGATGGAAAACTCACATCATGTTTCTTCTAAGAATTCAAACAGCATCTGACGGCTAAGGTTAATTTTGCTCTTTTATATTCCCTGGTATCCCCTACTAATTAGATTGGTTAATTGTGCCCAATGACGTAACAACAAGCCAACAGTGAGGCTGATGTCCCCTGCCAAAAGCCAAAAAAGATAGGTTGCCAGGCAACGAAACATAAGCCCACAGCAGCTATATCGTCCGGGCAGTCAACAAGAGTTGTCGCATATTTTTACTTTTTTCTGTAATGAAACATTTATAATACATTAAAATCTGATTAAGAGTAACAACTCATTAAGTAATTATCAGGAAACCATTAGAATTTGTTCGGTTTTTTATAAAGTTCTGCCCCATGCTAACGTTTAGTATACGAAACTTTTAACATCATGGATTTAGCTGTTCAAGTCATAAAGATTCATTGAAAATCAATATACTTGTGCGTCTCAAGACCTTAAACACTGTGTATAAATTTAAAATCAATCGGATATTAACTTTAGCCTCTAGAGTGTCCTCAAGATTTTTGGCAAAAATTATCGGAAATCGCTGAAAATCAATAGGATTCTTCATCTCATGACCTTAAACACTGTGTATAAATCGGATATTAACTTAAACCTCTAGAGCGTCCACAAGATTTTTCGAAGTGATCAAGGGCCATAACTCTAGCTGTAAAGATCGGAAATCGCTGAAAATCAATAGGCTTCTTCGTCTCATGACCTTAAATACTGTGCATAAATTTAAAGTCAATTGTATATTAACTTTGACCTCTAGAACGTCCACAAGATTTTTTGAAGTGATCAAGGGCCATAACTCTGGCAGTAATTATCGAAAATCATTGTAAATCAATAGGCTTCTTCGTCTCATGACCCTAACACTGTGTATAAATTTAAAGTCAATCGGATATTAACTTTGACCTTTAGAGCGTCCACAAGATTTTTCAAAGTGATCAAGGACAATAACTCTGGCAGTAATTATCGAAAATCGCTGAAAATGAACAGACTTCTTCAACTCATGACTTTAAACACTGTGTATAAATTTAAAGTCAATCGGATATTAACTTTAGCCTCTAGAGCGTCCACAAGATTTTTTGAAGTGATCAAGGGCCATAACTCTGGCAGTTATTATCGGAAATCGCTGAAAATCAAATCAATAGGCTTTTTCGCCTCATGACCTTAAACACTGTATAAATTTAAAATCAATCGGATATTAACTTTAGCCTTTAGAGCGTCCACAAGATTTTTTGAAGTGATCAAGGGCCATAACTCTGGCAGTAATTATCGGAAATCGCTGAAAATCAATAGGCTTCTTCGTCTCATGGCCTTAAACACTGTATATAAATTTTAAGTCAATCGGATATTAAATTTAGCCTCTAGAGCGTCCACAAGCAATTGTGGACGCTGGACCGACGGACGGACGGGGGCGACGACAATATACAACCACATTTCAATGTGGGCGTATAAAAAACCCAGATGACACATAATAATTAATTGTACATTTATCTTTTTCAAAAGTATTCAGTAATCAAACTGATTATCTATGCTTAGTCTAAGCATAAAATGTTCTCTATCAAACTCAGGTTTTAAAGTACCTGGTTGTGAGTGAAACTTTACACATAAGATTCATCATTCTCCATCAGTTATTGTAGTTATCTTGTCCAAAAGCATCGACCATAGAAATTGCTTAGCTTTAATGGGAAATATTAATCATTGAACTCAGTCAAGACATTAGCCTTATGAACATCTATACCTCAATTAAAAGCAGAATTGTTATGTTCCAAAGTCTTGACCAATCATTGCTTATCACTACTTAGCCTAAGCAGAAAATTCTCATCATCGAACGTAGTCAATATTTTGATATAATGAATTTATACTCAGTTTCATCTTTCTCACCCAATTAGAACCAAAGTTATCGTGTTCCAAAGTCTCAACCAATCAAATTGCTCATCTCTGCCTAGCCTTAGTGGAAAATGCGCATGAATGAACTATGTCAAGGCATTCACATAATAAACACCCACTCGGCAAACCTCAACAGATTCCAGTACCCTACATCTAATCTCGGCTGTATGACAAAGTCCGCCATTAGAACTACTTTCAAGTTCCCGGATTACAATGGCGTTGTCCATGACGACCAATGACGTCATTGATCACGACGTATTTGAAGAATGTTTTATCTTACAAAATTTTCAAAGTTTGAAGCTGTTTTTCTTTCAAGTTTATCCGATTTTCTTTAGACAAGGACAAATTTGATGTAATAAAACTATACACAAAGTTTCACCACTATCACTCAATTAGAATCAAAGTTGTCGAGCTAAAAGGTCTCGACCAATCAAATTGCTTATCGATTTGCTTACCCTGAACAGAAAATGCTTTCATAATCAAACTTAGTCAAGGTATTGATGATGTGATGAATTGAAACTATACACCAAGTTTCATCACTCTCACTTAACTAGAACCAAAGTTATCAAGTCCCAAAGCATCAACCAATCAAATGGATTATCTCTGCTTACCTTAAGCAGAAAATGCTCATCTTTTAACTCCATTTAAATATCATTTAAATATTAATATCATTGTCTTCAAACAGTCAACTGAGAGAACTAATTACCAAGTGCACATTTAATTAAATCAAATGATATAAAATACATACCCCAAAATAATGAATTAATGGCATAAGCGGCAACCAAATCCATTTTGGCACAATCCAGTGGTTCAAGCTGTAAGAAAATGTTTATACATGTACATAAATAAATATTGTCTAATTCCTGTACTTTAAAGCAAAGGGTAATATGCTGCTTTGTCATGTATGTGTGATGGACAGAGCAGAACATCTTGATGGCTGTGCCTCAATATAATACTTTTACCAGCGGCTGCCAGGCAGGATATGCCCACATTTTGCAAGAGATGGATAGAGAAAAAGCTAAAAACAAATGCAATTTTTTTGTACAATCAGGGGCAATGATCTAAAATGCGCAAGTTTCATCAAAATCGGACAAAAATTGTGGCCTATAGAGGGTCACAACCTTGATATACCATATATTTACACTACTTGCATACGAGGGGCGGCCATTTCGTCAGGCAATTTTGGTCCAATTTTCACGAAATTTAAACTTAGCCATCATTAGGGTGTAACGGTGATATATTCAAAAGTTTTTTAAATCGGATAAAAATTGTTTACTTCTAGAGTTACCACAAGCTAAAAACGTGATTTTTCGCACAATCAAGGGACATAATTCAGAAAGTTAACATCCGATATGCGCAAATTTTAAAAGGAACCAAGATCTGTGGGTTATAAACATGTATTTCAAGTTTCATCAAAATCGGCTTAAAATTATGACCTCTAGAGGGTCCACAACCTTGATGTACCATATTTTTACATTATTTGCGTATGAGGGACGGCCATTTTGTCCAGCAGTTTTGGTTCGATTTTCAAGAAATTCGGAATCGGCCATCATTAGGGTGTGTCGGTGATATATTTAAACAGTTTTTTAAATTTGATATAAATTGTTACCTCTAGAGTGACCACAAGCTAAAAACGTTATTCTTTGTACAATCAAGGGGCATAATTCAGAAAGTTATCATCCGATGCGCGAATTTTGAAAGGAACCAAGATCTTTGCGCAAATTTTAAAAGGAACCAAGATCTTTGGGTTATAAACATGTATTTCAAGTTTCATCAAAATCGGATCAAAATTATGACCTCTAGAGGGTCCACAACCTTGATGTACCATATTTTTTCATTATTTGCGTACGAGGAGCGGCCATTTTGTCTGTCAGTTTTAGGCCGATTTTCACGAAATTCGAACTTAGCCATCTTTAGGGTGTAACAGGGATATATATACTAAAACGTTTTTTTAAATCGGATAAAAATTGTGACCTCTATAGGGTCCACAAGCTAAAAATGCGATTTTTCGTACAATCAGGGGCCATAATTCAGGAAGTTACGGTCCAATTTGCACGAATATCTACAGGAACTGAGATCTTTGGGTTATAAACTTACATTTCAAGTTTCATCAAAATAGGATTAAATAGGAAACAAAACATACTCCCACAGCAGCTAAGTCGTCCAGGCAGTCTCCAAGGGTTGTCACATATTTTCTTTTGTCAGTAAGGAAACATTTACAATAGGAAACCCTTACATTTTTGTCCTGTATGTGCTCCATGGATGTTTTTCAGGGAATCCAGTATTTTTTTATAGTAAGATTGGATGTTTCTACTTTCCATATATACCAAAATTGCCATACTTTTATGATAGGATAACATTGTCAATATTATTACAATGTTCCCTGTACAAACTGCATATGTCAGTAGTTCAAAATACGTATTTTAGTTTAACAATTTGCAATTTCCATTGCTCCACAATACCCCCTAAAGATAAATTTTAAATGTTCCTATTATTAATTAGAACAGGTTTCGCTTTAGTTTTTATATTTTACGTTGACATTTTTTTGCTTTAAATCTTCCTAGTGCAAAAACGGTCAATTTCACCTTTTGACCTCCAGGGTCACTAAGACTAAAGGTGAATTTAGCAAGTTTACATTTTTATTGAAAGTGTGATTACTTTCGAAGATTTTCAGCTTCTTTTCATAATACAAGAATGACTGCGCATTCACCATACAATAAATCGGCTTACCATGCAATAAGGACGAATCAAGCTAGCATGCAATAAGGAATTCGCTGGATGACCATGACCTCTGTGAAATCATGCGCTCGGTATGGCTAATCCGAGCCTTCGATAAGCCCTACACTATTCAATAATACAAAATACAGTATAATATAATAGTTATTTTGCCCATTACACTTCTCCATTCTGCATTTTGCATTATAGACAAATGTATATTAGAACATATACCTTATATGGAAACTACAACAAAGCTCATTTGCATACGGAAAAAAATTCCGGACTAGGACGGAAATTAATAATTTATACGATTAATATACAAGGTCAACATCAGTAGAAGGGGACAGAGATCAAGTCACCATACAATAAATCGGCTTACCATGCAATAAATAAATGGGATAATACCAATGTAAATCAGTCTGATCTCAAAAGAGCGGGTCAAATTGTAGATATGATAAATATGCGTGAGTCGCACGAAATTTACTCGCATAAAAAAGATCTTAATGAAATAATTACTTATTTATGCCTTGACTTATTTATGCCTTATATATATTGTAAATATTGTAAGTGTACACTAATGTACGAATAAATGTGAAATAAATAAATAATGACCATGACTTCTGTGAAATCATGCACTTGGTATGGCTAATCCGAACCTTCGATAAGCCCTACATTTTTACTTTCTACCCCCCCCCCTCTCGATCCCTTCAACTTTAATCTTTTTTTTTCACAGTAGGGCTACGTAGTTATGACGATACCACTGTAACATGGAGAATAAAAATGGATAACCAACGGCTGCCGGGCTAGATACGCCCTCATTTTTGAGAGATGGATAGAGAACAAGCTAAAAAGAAAGTGATTTTTCCTACAATCAAGGGCCATAATTCAGAAAATTACAATTCGATATGCGCAAATATCGAAAGGAACCGAGATTTTTGGGTTGTAAACTTACATTTCAAGTTCCATCAAAATCGGATAAAAATTATGACCTCAATAGTGTCCACAACCTTGATATACCATATTTTTACGCTATTTGAGAACGAAGGGCGGCCATTTTGTCTGTCAGTTTAGGGCCGATTTTCACGAAATTCGAACTTAGTCGTCCTTAGGGAGTAACGGTGATATAATAATAAGTTTTTTTAAATCTGATAAATATTATGACGTCTTTAGGGTCCAGAAGCTAACCAGCGGCTGCCAGGCAGGATACGCCCACATTTTCGAGAGATGGATAGAGAACAAGCTAACAAGAAAGTGATTTTTCCTACAATCAAGGGCCATAATTCAGGAAATTACAATTCGATATGCGTAAATAACGAAAGGAACTGAACAAACGGCAGCCATTTTGTCTGTCAATTTTGGGCTGATTTTCACGAAATTCGAACTCAGTCCTCCTTAGGGTGTAACGGTGATATAATAATACGTTTTTTTAAATCAGATAAAAATTATGACCTCTATAGGGTCCACAAGCTAAAAACGCGATTTTTCGTACAATCAGGGGCCATAATTCAGGAAGTTATGGTCCCATATGCGCAAATGTCGAAAGGAACTGAGATCTTTGTGTTATAAACTTACATTTCAAGTTTCAAAAAAATCGGATAAAAATTGTGACCTCTATGGCGTCAAACGGATGAAGTTAGTCCCCCTTAACATCCTCTGAAAATTTCAAGTGCCTACGACCACGGGAACTGGTAGAGGTACGAAAGTGCAATAGCGCCGGTTATGCTAGGGAAGAAAGACTTCAGGAAAAAAAAACCACAGAAAAACCGAGGCCGGCAGGCCTCGGTTTTTCTTTCTCTCGGGTTATTTTCTTCAGTCTTTCTTTCCCCAGTATAACCGAAGTCTCGTTCTTTATCCTACTACACTGGCTACAACTACACATAAAATTCAGCCTCACATCACGATGTATCGAATTTCACCTTGCTACTCATTTCACTTAGTGCGGTTTTCAGCAGTGGCTCTAAACTGGTCTCTAAGCCTGTTAGAGATGCATCTAATGCTGCAAGTTTTCCTTTTATTTCTGCTGGAATTTCCGTACTGCCGGTATTATTTGCCATTTCGGAATTTCTGTGTAAAAGTAAAACAAAATCACGTGTATGTTGAAAAGGCGGTGCCGCCGGTTTTGCCCCCGCTAAAAGTATTGTCCGCTATCTACGATGTAGGCTGAAGTCAGCGGACATTACGCTGAGCGGACGTTTTATGACCTTGACCCTCATCGTCGAAAGCTTCGGTTAACAAAACACAATGTTTAGCCGTTGAAGTGAGCGTACGGAATGAATAACAAATGTCCGCACTACTAATCTATTTAAACCACTGAAGACATACAATAATGGGCAAGAAATGAAAGTCTTTATCACCCATTTCTGTAGCACCATAGATAATTTCGGAAAGTCACTGGAATACACCGCAAAACAGGTTGAATTAATTACCGGTTAAACCGGAAAACACCTTAATGTCAATTCTGTTTACCAAACTACCGCTACTATTTCATTTTCTTGAGCCACGCAATACTTGGCATAGAATGAAAGAGTGGTTATCCCTCTATCATGTGGCACAATAAATTATTCTTGAAAGTCCTCAGCATAATCTGAAATCCGTGCTAGGAAAGCAGTACCCCCCACCCCCACCCCCGTCTTGTTTGTCAATTCTGTATTACCAAACGGCCGCTGCTATTTTATTTTCTTGAGCCACTCGAACATGGCATGGAATTGAAGAGTGTTTATCCCTCTTTCATGTGGCACCATAGATTATTTCTGAAAACCCTCGATTCAGTCTTAAATCCGTCCTAGGAAAGCTGCCCCGCCCCCTCTTTTATGTCCATAACCGGGCCCGACCATTGCTGTATTCGTCACTCCTCGGTTTTATGGGGAATACGACTAACGAAATGGTAAATAGCGTTCGTAACTACAAAAATTGGCTCGGAAGTCGTGGTTTCTACTGGAGAACTCGGGTAGCTAAAATTATAACGAGTTCACGACATACGACGTAACAAGATGGCAGCAGAAGTTGTAAAATTGAACGTTTTGAACGGTAATGATAATATTTTTGTAGTTAAATGCTTGTTGTGGATGTGCATATCGATCTGAATACGTGATTTGTAGGATTTTACATATTGGGATACATTTTCTGAACAGTGACAAGAAACACATCGAACAGAAAACGAGGAAGATACCTGGCTTTCTATTGTGTTCTAACTTGTTATTGTACGGCAGTTCAGGTTTTAGGATGGTACAGTCTATATCAACAAAAATGTTCCAGTAACGTGGGGGAAAACTGTGGTTTAACGTCCACTCGGCACAAACTAGGTCATTTCGGGACTAACGTACCTTCCTTTGAATTTAAAAAGTCTACATACCGAAACAATTACATGTAATTAGATATTACCAGTCGGCTATTTGACCATACTGCTCATCGACATTTGCATTTTTAGGGCACTAGGCCATATCTAATTTTGATTATTTAACATTTAATTAAAACGAAACCAATATAGGCCATCAACGGTATATTATGTAGATATTTATCTAAAAGATTGACCAATACTTAAAGATTCCACTGACTTGTTTATATTGTTTTCAATTCATCATATCTTTGTAAATACTAAAAGAACTGAACCTTCTTTGGACTGATAATATTCCGTTTAGCGATTTAATTTTCACAAATGGTGATTAGCGGTTTTAATAATCCTTGAAGGGATAATAGGCTTACCGGTACATTGAAAGCTGGTATATATAATCCAGTTCTTTATTATTATAATTGCAGTGTATTCGAAAAATGGATTGTTGTACTTTGATGAAGATTGTATGGTTAGAATAAACGAAAGCATATATCAAGACCTTCATGATGATTATTAATTGGACGAACAGCTTCAAACGAAACTTAGAATTCTAAATACTGATTCTAAACCGTTGAAGATAGTTTCCGAAAATGCCACTGATCAACTATGTGCCACAATTTCTTCCAAAGAAACAGAAATGAGTGATCAACAAATGGCTTCAACACGAAGTCCTTTGAGAAATTCCAGTTCTTCTGTTGGCGCTACAGAAAATAGAAATTGGCCAACACACAACGTATGGACATGCGAGGAGACTTTATATTTAATATCGTTAATGCAGGACCACATTGAAAATTATGATGAAATACCAAAATCTATTACAGAATTGGAAAATAAAATTAGACTTGGTAGAGGAAAACAAAGACAGTTATGGGCAGAATTTACCGAGAAACTGTGTACAACATTTGAAAAAGTATTTGACTCAAAGAGAGTTGCAAGAAAATGGCAAACTCTAATTGATGGTTTCAAAAAAGCGGTTTTGAATAATTCTACTACTGGAAAGGCGCCAACCAAATTTGCATTTTACACCGAAATGAATCGTTTGATCGGCGATCGTCACGATATCAATTTTGTACTTACAGCTACAGCCGATGGAATTAACGTACACAGACCATCTGAAGTTGGACAAACGGATGACACTGCACAAATTGATGAGAGACAAGAGACAGAGCCAAGCAGTTCAAACCCATCTTCATCAAATTATCAAGTGAAACTACCGAGTAAAAAACGCAAGAGGAATAGCGATGGAGATGAAATTTTAAAATACATGAAGAAAGTGACCGAGAGATGACCGAGAGAACAGACAAACTCATAAAGAATATGGAAACATTTCAAAATACCTTTCAGGACATGATGGGTTGCTTACTTGATAAACTATAAGATCAACTTTTGAATATTGATTATATCAATTCAAATTATCATGTGAAAAGTATTCATATAAAAAAGTTTTTTGTAAAAAATTTAATTTTCGAAATTTGGCGCCTAATATCTGTGAAGATTTGCCGAAAATCAAAAATCAAAAGTAGCATAGCTATGTGCCCTGTGTCCGGCTATGCCAAAATGTATCGAAAGTTAAAATCCAATGATTATTGTTAAAATTACTGCGATATTTCTAAAAACGATAGCTTCGGTGATTTCGGACATTTTGCATTGTCGCAGAACGATCAAATTAGCTTTATCCTCTAAGTCACGCCCACTTTTCCAGTAAAACCGAAGAAATCGTAACGATCCGACAAGGAGGTGCTGAGATCTAAACAAAAATAATTTGGAATAACAATAATAATAATATCTAGAACTGCGATGCAGTAATGACGGGTTTCACAGGTGCCACATTACCCTAAACATGTCACTTCCGGTACCAATGAAACCATTAAACAGGTTTCCACATAAGCATTGCAAACATCAAATAAAATGGATGCCGAATCAACCAAATCCAGCAATATCAATTCATTTTATACATTTGTTACATGCAAGTGTACAGTACGTCCGGTGATAATGAAAATGTTCAATTAGTTTTATGAAATCAGAAATGGCATAAGGCATCACATGGTGAAAATTTTATGTAAATCAAATAATAATTGCCACTTTTATAGACCAAAAACCTTGAAAAGTGACTTGTAGAAAATCGTCTATTTCTCTGCAACCGTACAAGTTAGAAACCATTTTCTGGTATCTGTATGATCGTATGGGTTCAATCTATTTGCTGATTGGAATCAAATATCATAATTTTAAAAACATTACAAATCAGACTCATTTGAATAAAATATGTTTTGAAGGCTAAAAATACAGTTTTTGCCAAAATGACGTTACTTTCCGTGATAATGAAAATCTTAAATTACTTGTATGAAATCGTAAATGGCATTAGGTATCACACAGTGAAAATTTCATGAAAATCGAATAATAATTGACACTTTTATGGACAAAAAACCTTGAAAAGTGACCTGTTGAAAATTGCCTATTTCTCCGCAACTGAACAAGTTAGAAACCATTTTGTGATATCTATATGATCGTATGGGTTCATTCTTTAGTTGATTAGAATCAAATATCAAAATCTTAAACAAACAACAAATACAACTCATTTGAATAAATTATTTGTTTCGAAGGCTATAAATACAGTTTTTGTCCAAATTTCGTCATTTCCGGTGACATTGAAAATGTTAAATTGAGTTGAACTAGCCACAATTGACATTATGCATCAAATGGTTTCACTTTTATGAAAATCCAATAATAATTGACTCTTTTACAGGCACAATAGCGTAAAGAGTGACTCATGCAAAATTGCCCATTTCTCGGCAACTGCGCATATTACAAATTAATTTTCACATACATTCTCTCCGTATAGATTATTGCTACGAGTTTATGAAAGTTACGAAGTAATATTTTAAAATATGAAAACGCTGGATGGGTTGTAAATAGCTTAATTTTACACCTTTTTTCACCTTTTAATCGAAATAGCCCGAAAACGGAATCGAAATTAAAAAAACTGGTCCCAACATTTTGTGCGCCTTTAAAGGGCGCACAATTTCAGTTATACCAGATTTGAAAAAAATAATATTTGCTTTCGAAAAATGGTACCTAACTGTCAAAATTGTAGTTTTTTGTCAATTTACGCCACTTCCGGTGCCGACAGATAACACTATTGGTAACAAAAAAAATGACAATTGAGACAACGGAGCATATGAACTTTGTTTTATACAAATCGAACAATAAATAATTAATCTAGGACTGAAAAACTGAATTAGCCAATGGGGGCCAAGGAAAATTACCGACAAAAAATTTTCACATTTTTGCCCAAGTCAGAGGACTCGTTATATTTGTGTAAAACACGACTAAAAAATATTCATAAATAAAAAAGTTTTAGCGCCTAATATCTGCGAAGATTTGCCGAAAATCAAAAATCAAAAGTAGCGTAGCTATGTGCCCCGTCTTCGGCTATGCCAAAATGCATCGAAAGTTAAAATCCAATGATTATTGTTAAAATTACTGCAATATTTCTAAAAACGATAGCTTCGGTGATTTCGGACATTTCGCATTGTCGCAGAACGTTCAAAATAGCTTTATCCTCTAAGTCACATCCACTTTTCCGATAAAACCGAAGAAATCGTAACGATCCGACAATCAGTTGCTGAGATCTACTCAAAACAAAAGAAGAATAATAATAAGAAGAATAACTAGAACTGCGATGCAGTAATGACGGGTTTCACCGGTGCCACGTTACCCTAAAATATGTCACTTCCGGTACCAATGAAACCATTAAACAGGTTTCCACCTCATCATTGCACACATCAAATAAAATGGACGCCGAATCAACCAAATCCAGCAATATCAATTCATTTTATATATTTGTTACATG